TTTTTTTAGCGAGTTTTCAATGTTTAACGGGCAAGATTTGCAAAGCACATAAAAAGCAGAAAATAATAATTCCATATGAGCAGTAAAAAGTCTTCACTGGATGGATATTTTGCTAAGTTACAGTCAACCCAGCAAAGTCTTAATTATCTCGGAAACTGGATGAGCTCCTATAATTATTTTGGTGACTCTAAAAAGCCCAAAAATAGCACGTAATTCCTCAATAATATTTGTCCGTGTTCGACCAAAGTTTAAGAAGTGGATTTTTCAATGTTTACTGGGCAATATTTTTTTAGCGATTTTTCAATGTTTAACGGGCAAGATTTGCAAAGCACATAAAAAGCACAAAATAATAATTCCAGATAAGCAGTAAAAAGTCTTCACTGGATGGATGTTTTGCTAAGTTACAGTCAACCCAGCAAAGTCTTAATTATCTCGGAAACTGGATGAGCTCCTATAATTATTTAGGTGACTCTAAAAAGCCCAAAAATAGCACGTAATTCCTCAATACTATTTATCCGTGTTCGACCAAAGTTTAAGAAGTGGGTTAGCTAGCGTGGCGTCAAACGGGTTTTCAATGTTAACCGGGCAATATTTTTAAAGCCCATAAAAAGCGCACAAAAAAATAAGCCCAGAAAAGTAGTAAAAATACTTCATTGAATGAATGTTTTGCTAAGTTACGGTTAACTTAGCAAAGTCTTAATTATTTACCAAATGGTCGGAGCACAAAAAAAACGAAAAGTGGCCGAAAATAGCACACAATGAGCACAATAATACGAACAAATTTTTTCTTCATTTTTCATTTTAGCGCCGCTAACTTGATTGAGCTACTCGAGGCAACGGTCGAAGCAACATGCGCTAGTTGCTTTAACGGTTGCCTGGTGTGTAGTCAACATAAGAGTGAATAATAGGCTTTTGTTTGTTCAATCAACCCTTTGCTTGTGTTCAAGCCACAGTGGCTATTTAAGGGAATCAAAAAAAGAAGCATAAAAATCAAAGGGAACAAGATATTTTCTTCATGGTTACCGGCTTTTTTATGAAAGGTACAGTTATAAGTATGACATTAAAAAAATTATGTACCTATTCAAGTGAAGCGTGGAGTGCACGCAAATTAAAGCAAAATTAAAGCACTGTACAAAAGAATATTAAATTAATTAAAGAGCTAAAAATTTTATTGCATAAAATGATGTGGCGGCTTATAATTCTAGGATATGCATCATAATCAATCAAAAATAGAATTTTGTATTTTTTCTATTTCAGCGACCAGCTTTTTTAAAGTAAGGTAATGATATGTAAATCTAAATTTTTTTATTATTTTAGAAAAAAACTATTATAGTAACTATTAACAGAAACTACAAGTTTACCAAGCGTAAATGCGGAAATGAATTTCGGAAATCCAAAAAAGCCTCTTAAATGAATTTCAGAAATATTCTTGGGTTTTTTGAGAGATACGGCATATTCGTATGCTATTTAATTGTGTTTGACAATACCCCCAGTGAAATATTTCAGTTAACTGTCGCTAAAACGTTCGTGCAGTTCGCCATGCCATCTCCTTCGTTACCCGTCGGCGCTATAGATCTTACGTACGTAGAAGAGATCTCTCCAATGCCGCCAAACAACTCTCTTTTTTCGACATTTTTCTCGTTTCTGCGCCATATACATACATATGTGGGTATGTAAATAAACGATCAAGGCGAGAGCTTTTCGAAGCGTAATTTTTGTTCGTCGAGATATCCCTCTGTTTTTTTTTTCATTTGTCTACAAAGCGAAAAGTAGCACCTGTTGTTAGGAATTATTCTTCGCTTAGGTAGACAAAGTCCTCCACTACTTCGAGGCATTAACTGCCAACAACAGTAATACTACGTAAAAGATTAGAACGACATCGTTAAGCAACCATGTAAATAAGTTTGTTAAAAACTTAGTATTAGTCTAAGATAATTAAAATTACCACTTTGTTATTTATTCTCCAACCATATTAGCGTTCAACTGTTTATGCACTTAAGTTTGCTAATTCGCTTCTCGCGTTTAGCTAGCAGCTGCATTCAAGCTGAAAGTGTAAACACACATATTCTCCTAAATATGTACTTCATTCGCATTAAGTTTAGTCTAGACACTAGACAATGGATAAAAAGCGCCGATATTATGTACTGCATATTTAACGTTCATTTTATTTGAAAAAAAAAAACAGCAACTATAATCAAAAACAAAAACAAAAGTCAATACAAACAACAATGGCTTAAACTTACTTAACAGTTACTTATTAGTTGAAAGCAGCAAGCGTTAAAAGGTTCTGCAACAATTTGGTATTGTGTGTGTGTGCGTGTGTGGGTGGCGGGTGCGCTTAAGCCACTTACGATTGTACATATTTAAATATATATGTATGTTTTTGTGTACTTGTACTTTCCACCAAATAAGTACTTGTAATTGTTATGCACACATATAGCATACACAATGAAGATCGGCACACCTCTACAGAAGTTTCATGACAACCACCGTTGTCACCGCTAACACTACCGCTGCCATTGCCATTGCCGCAGTCATTATCGTTGTCAGTGCTTGTCATTGTTGTTGCTCACTATTTGTTTTAGCGCTAATGCCAATTGTAAGCAGAATTAACAAGGATTTAGTTTTGCTAAGTGCGCCAGTTGTTATTATTCGTATTGTCAATCCGCTCCTCCGCTGAACGCTGAGTTACGTTTGACGCGGTTGTTATTGCCGCTTTCACGATTAAGCTATCTGTTGTTACTGTAAACGCATTCAAGTACCAGCCACAGGTCTCCTTCCCCAAAGCAGAAAATTTAATTCCCGT